AAAAAATATATCGTAAACTCAGTTAGTCATAAATTTAAGGCAAAATGTATTCTGCTACATGTTTTTGGTAAAAAAAATCCCAATAAGTGTATATTGATTGCTTTGTGTGAAAGTTATAGCGTCTACAAACTATGGTATAGATCAGCAATGGGCAAACTACGGCCCGCGGGCCGTAAACGGCCCGGCAGACCTTTTAATCCGGCCCGCGGATGTGGCTGTCAGGATGTGTGTAGGCGGGGCAGCGTGACGAACGTGAGGGGAGGGGAGCTAGGCTCCTCTCACAGTCCGCCCTGAAGACCGGAACGGCGCGGGAACACGGCGAGAGGAACGCGCGGAGCAAAGGTAAGTGAATTGACACAGGGGGGACTTGGCTTACTACTTGGGGGGGAATAGTACTGTGGGGGGGATGAAATACTATATGGGGGATGAATTACTATATGGGGGATGAATTAATATGAGGAATGAATTACTATGGGGGATGAATTACTATGGGGGATGAATTACTATATGGGGGATGAATTACTATATTGGGGATGAATTACTATGGGGGATGAATTACTATATGGGGGATGAATTACTATGGGGGATGAATTACTATATGGGGGATTAATTACTATGGGGGATGAATTACTATATGGGGGATGAATTACTATATGGGGGATGAATTACTATATGGGGGATTAATTACTATGGGGGATTAATTACTATGCTTACTATGGGGGAATATTACTATACTTACTATGAATGACACATACACATCATTCATCTACTCTTGGTCCGGCACCTGGGTCCAATATATGAACCCATTGCGGCCCTCAAGTCAAAAAGTTTGCCCACCCCTGGTATAGATACTGTAATTTATGCCTTTTTTTTGCTATACAGCGCTGCACTAATTCAAATGATAATTGCGCGGTCATGCAATGCTGTACCCAAACGAAATTTACGTCCTTTTTTTTCACACAAATAGAGCTTTCTTTTGGTGGTATTTGATCACCTGTGCGCTTTTTATTTTTTGCGCTATAAACAAAAAAACCACGAAAATTATGAAAAAAAACAGTATTTTCTACTTTCAGCTATAAAAAATATACCGTAAACTCAAAGTTAGTCATAAATTTAAGCCAAAATGTATTCTGCTACATGTTTTTGGTAAAAAAATCCCATGCATTAGCGGGCAAACTGGCGCTATCTAGGAGGGGCGCTAACACTATCGGAAGTCGCCAGTGACACTAATACAGTGATCAGTAAAAATCTGTTCACTGTAATCAATGACACTGGTGACAGGGCAGTGAAGGGGTTAACTGGGGGGGGGAGGGGGGGGCGATCAAGGGGTTAAATGGGATTTCTGGTGCACTAGCGGGCAAACTGGCGCTATCTGGGAGGGGCGATAACACTATCGGAAGTCGCCAGCGACACTGATACAGTGATCAGTAAAAATCTGTTCACTGATCAATGACACTGGTGACAGGGCAGTGAAGGGGTCAACTCAGGGGGGGCGATCAAGGGGTTAGACAGGATTATTGGTGTATTAGCGGGCAATCTGGAGCTATCTGGGAGGGGCGCTAACACTATCGGAAGTCGCCAGCGACACATACAGTGATCAGTAAAAATCGGTTCACTGATCAGTGACACTGGTGACAGGGCAGTGAAGGGGTTAACTTGGGGGGGGGGGATTAAGGGGTTAAATGGGATTACTGGTGTACTAGCGGGCAATCTGGCGCTATCTGGGAGGGGCGCTAACACTATCGGAAGTCGCCAGCGACACTGATACAGTGATCGGTAAAAATTGGTTCACTGATCAGTGACACTGATGACAGGGCAGTGAAGGGGTTAACTGGGGGGGGGGGGGCGATCAAGGGGTTAAACGGGATTACTGGTGTACTGGCGGGCAAACTGGCGCTATCTGGGAGGGGCGCTAACACTATCGGAAGTCGCCAGCGACACTGATACAGTGATCAGTAAAAATTGGTTCACTGATCAGTGACACTGGTGACAGGGCAGTGAAGGGGTTAACTGGGGGGGGCGATCAAGGGGTTAAACGGGATTACTGGTGTACTGGCGGGCAAACTGGCACTATCTGGGAGGGGCTCTAACTCTATCGGAAGTCGCCAGCGACACTGATACAGTGATCAGTAAAAATTGGTTCACTGATCAGTGACACTGGTGACAGGGCAGTGAAGGGGTTAACTGGGGGGGGTGATCAGGGGGTTAAATGTGTCCTAGGTGTGTTATAACTGTAGTGTAGTGCTTGTGTACTCACTTTTACTGTGTCTTTTTCTCTGTCTGGAACGGAATGTGTCCAGGCAGAGAAGAATGACATCATATCCTGCCCTGTGTATATGTCAACACAGGACAGGATAGGACAGGGACCGATCATGTGATTTCAGCCAGAAATCACTGGCTGAAATCTAATGATTGATCCCTCCTGGATCAAATCGTGTCACCCGCGGGTCGGCGGGAGCGCGCGCGCCCCCCTGCCGGCGAAAGTGTCGGGAGCGCGGAACCCGTTTTAAAAACGTGGTTTTGCACTCCACTGCCGCCCTGCACACGTATATACACAGTGGCAGGGCGGCAAGCGGTTAATGTCATGCTTGAATTCCATTTATATGCAGTAAAACATTCAAGTTACAAAAATTATTGGCTAGTTAGCTCAGGGCTTAAAATTTCAAGTCCTTTCAAACTATGTACATCATTGGTGTCAGTGTGTGTGTGTAAGGGGGGGGGGAATAGTGCCCCATCATTGGTGTCAGTGGGGGGGGGAATAGTGACCCATCATTGGTGTCAGTGGGGGGGAATAGTGACCCATCATTGGTGTCAGTGGGGGGGGGAATAGTGACCCATCATTGGTGTCAGTGGGGGGGGGAATAGTGCCCCATCATTGGTGTCAGTGAGGGGGGGGGGGGGAGATTGTGCCGGCTGCTCCCTCACTTCTTTGATCTTCGCGCTGCTGCTTGGCTCTTCTCCAAGCTCCGCCTCCTCGCCGGTGATTGGCCGCGTGTGCCTTTCCTGAGCTACACTTCAGGCGGCCAATCATTGGCGAGGAGGCGGAGCTTGCAGAGGGAGGGACAAGCTGCCATAGGCTGTTGAGTGATCCCGGGGGTGTGGCAAGATGACAGGGGCGGCATGTCATCCCGCCCACACATCGCGATCCAGGGAAATGAAGACACCGGACCTGCTGACAACCTCCTTACCCCTCCTTCAGCAGCACCTCGTGGACTAGATCGATGTGGGACTGGGACACGGAGTCGCGGACCCAGGTAATACACAGCAGCCCGCCCCTGTACTAAGTGTCCCTTCCAGGAGAAAGAGGGGGGGCGGCGTTGCCGCTGTGCCACCCCCCTAAAAAGTGCCACCCTAGGCAAACGCCTTGTTTGCCTCGCGGCAAATACGCCCCTGGGTGACGCACTCGCCCCCAGCATAATTTCCACTCGCCATTGGCGAGCAGGCGAGTGGAAATTTCAAGGCCTGAGTTACCTAATCTATATCCACCAAAAATAAACTATAAATACACTTTTATTTAAAAATTCTAATGAAAAATTACATTTTCATGCCCAACTGTGAAATGTATTTATTGATAAAGTAGTAAAAACAGCAAGCAAATAAATATTATTGCCAGACAGAAGGACTAAGTTCATGAATTTCAGACCAGTTTTCCAAAATAGGCTGGAAAGAGTCTCTTTTTTCTGCACTGATCATTGTATTCTGATTGCTGGGAAACCTCCCACTGTCAGAGTACAATAGCGCAGCAGGAGGGATTCCCCCATCAACACTGACTGTGATGATGGAGGAATCTAGCAGTTTTCTTTTTTTCAACCTATGGTGGAAGAAGAGAAAATTGTATAATGTGTGGGCTGCTTAAGAGTGTGTGTCTTTTTTTATTTTATTTTATATATACACACATACATACACACATACATACATACACACACACACACACACACACACACACAGTTGAAAAAAATTGAAGGAACACTTTTTAATCAGAGTATAGCATCAAGTCAATTAAACTCCTGGGATATAGATCTGGTCAGTTAAGTAGTATATGGGGTTGTCAATCAGTTTCAGCTGCTTTGGTGTTAATGAAATGAACAGATGCACTAGATGGGCAACAATGAGACGACCCCAATACAGGAATGGTTTTACAGGTTTTACAGAGGCCACTGACATTTTTTTACCTACTCATCTTTTTTGACTGTTTTTCACTAGTTCTGCATTAAGCTAGGGTCAGTGTCACTACTGGTAGCATGAGGCGATACTTAGACCGTATGAGGTGATACCTGGACCCTAAAGAGGTTGCACAGGCAGTCCAACTCCTCCAGGATGGCACACCAATTAATGCCATTGCTGTATCATTTTTGCACTTTGATTTTCGGGGTGTTTTTGAATTCAGTCCTCTGTAGGTTGATCATTTTCATTTCCATCAAACGATTGGGCATTCTTACATTCTTAACACATTACTCAGTCCAGATCAGTATAGATATCCAGCATGATATTTTTCCCAATTGAAGTCTGATGTGTTATCAAAATGTCCCTTTTAATTTTTTTGAGCAGTGTGTATATATATATACATATACACACACACATACATAATAGCAGTGTGGTGAAAAAAGTGAATAAAGCTCAAAATCCAAATAGCTTTTATTTCCATATACACAAATGCATTGGGAACACTACACATTCTATTCCAAATCAAAACATGAAGAAAAATATATCAAATTTGTGTTGTCCTCTAAAAGAAATTGAAGAAAAGTGAATATTAGACTGTTCAAAAAAATAGCAGTGTTCGTATTCTTCTTTACAAACTCAAACATTCACTATATAAACTGAAAAATGTTTGAAGATTTTGCTTTCCTTTGAATCACTTACCGTATTTTTCGCTCTATAAGACACACTTTTTTCCCCCCAAAAAAGGGGGGGAAATGTCAGTGCGTCTTATGGAGCGAATATAAAGCGGCTGGTCCGGTATTTCCGCCGCCACCATGTCAGAATACCAGGCCGGCAGCTCAGCTGTTCTCTGCGGCAGGAACTCACCTGTTCCTCGGTCCAGCGCTGTAGTCTTCCCGCGCCGGCTTCTTTCCCGCCCCGGCATCTGTGACAGCCGGGTGCCCACTGCGCATGCTCGAGAAGCACTTAACAGGTCCCAAAAGATGCCGGGCCATTCACAAAGCGCAGCACTTCTCGTGCATGCGCAGTGGGCACCCGGCTGTCAAAGTCGGGTGCCCACAGTATAGGAAGGTGAACTCCGCGGAAGTGGGAGCGGGTACCTGTCAAATTCAGGTACCCGCTCCCCCTCCCTCCCTAAAGGTCCGCAGTGTCTGGTCATTCCTGTACTGTCTGCAGTCTCTGGTCATCCCCTGTGCTGTCTGCAGTCTCTGGTCATCCCCTGTGCTGTCCGCAGTCTCTGGTCATCCCCTGTGCTGTCCGCACATCTCTGTTCATCTCCTGTACTGTCTGCAGTCTCTGTTCATCTCCTGTACTGTCTGCAGTCTTTGTTCATCTCCTGTACTGTCTGCAGTCTCTGTTCATTTCCTGTACTGTGTCCGCAGTCTCTGGTCATCTCCTGTACTGTCTGCAGTCTCTGTTCATCTCCTGTACTGTCCGCAGTCTCTGGTTATCCCCTATACTGTCCGCAGTCTCTGGTCATCTCCAGTAGCACGTCCGCAGTCTCTGGTCATCTCCAGTAGCACGTCCGCAGTCTCTGGTCATCTCCTGTAGTATGTCCGCAGTCCCTGGTCATCCCCTATACTGTCCGCAGTCCCTGGTCATCCCCT